CACACAAGCTGAGGAAGAGGAGAGGAAGAGGAAGAAGCAGACTCCCCCCTGGAGAGCCCAATGGGGGACTCAATCCCAGCACCCTAGGATCATGACCTGAGCCCGAAGGCAGACACTTAACTGACTGAGCCACCCAGGTGTCCCAAATTTTTTAAATTTTGATGAAGTCCAATTTATCTATATTTTCTTTTGTCATATATGTGCTTTAATGTCAGATGCAAGAAACTATTGCCTAACCTAAAGCCATAAAGATTTACTCCCACTTTTACTTCCAAGATTTGTATAGTTTTAGCTCTTACATTTAGGTTTATGATCCATTTTTTAGTTAATTTTTGCATATGGTGTGAGGTAAGCGTCTAACTCCATTCTTTTGAATGTAGATATCCAGTTGTTCCATTTATTGAAAAGACTATTTTTTCCCTTATTGAATTGTCTGGCATCTTTATTGAAAATCAATTGATCATAAATGTGAGGGTTTATTTCTGGACTGTTAATTTTATTCCCTCGATCTATCTGTCTAGCTATTTGCCAGTACTACCCTGGATTGATTGCTATAACTTTGTAGTAAGTTTTGAAATCCAGAAGTTTGAGTTCTCCAACTTTGTTCTTTTTAAATTATTTTGGCAGTTATAGTCCTTTACATTTCCAAATGAATTTTAGGATCAATTTTTCCATTTCTTAAAAAAAGGCTACTAGGATTTTGAGAGAGATTGCATTGATTCATAGATGAATTTGGGGAGTAGTGTCACCTTAACAATATTAAGTTTTCCAATCCATGAACATGGGTTGTCTTTCCATTATTGACATATATCCCTATGTCTTCTTTAATTTCCTCCAATGATGTTTTGGTTTTTTCAGAGTGCAAGGTTTGGACTTCTCTTAAATTTATTCCAAGTATTTTATTTTTTGAGATGCTATTGTAAATGGAATTGTTTTCTTAATTTCATTTTCAGGTTGTTTATTGCTTGTGTTTAGAAATATAATTGATCTTCATATACTGATCTTGTATCCTGCAACCTTGCTAAATTCATTTATCACTTCTGACACTGGGCAAGACACCCAGTCTTAGATACTTTAGGATTCTGTGTGCAAAGTTATGTCATCTGCCTTTTATTTCTTTTTCTTGACTAATGGACCTGGCTAAAACCTTCAGGACAATGTTAAATAGAAATAGCAAGAGTAAGGGCACCTCGGTGGCTCAGTTGGTTAGGCATCTGCCTTCAGCTCAGTTCATGATCCCAGGGTCCTGGGATTGAGCCCCACATTGGGCTCCCTCCCCAAGCAGGGAGCCTGCTTCTCCCTCTCCCCCGCTTGTGCTCTCTCTCACTCTCTCTCAAATAAATAAATAAAATCTTAAAAAAAAAAAAAAGGAAATAGCAAGAGTAGACATACTTGTCTTGTTCCTTATCTTAGGAAGAAAGCATCCAGTCTTTTATCATTAAGTATGTTATTGGCTGTGGGTTTTTCATAAATGGGCTTTATCAGATTGAGGGAGTTCCATTCTATTCCTAGTTGTTGATTGTTTTATCACGAACGATGAATAGGTTTTAAAGACTTTTAATAATGGCTTGAATGGTAGGGTTTCAGGCAGCACAGAGATCATAATATGCAGGGAAGACCATCTCATTTTCTTCTCTTCATCAATTCTCCCCAGTGGAATGAGGAGGGAGACGGGACATGGATTATTTGGTTTATGTGAGACACTTTGCATATATGATATCATTTGATCGTGAAGTGGATATTACTGTTATTCCCATTTTACAGAGGAGGAAATTTAGGTATAGAGAGATTAAATAAGTTCTTCCAAAGTTGCACAATGTTAGTGCCAAAGCTGGGATTTGAATCCAGATACCTTAATGCCAGAGCTTACACTTTTAACCTTTCATCTTACATGGCTTATTCTCATTCTCCTGGCCCCACAGGATTCTGGATGTTTTCTATGCACGTACCATCCAAAATGGAAGTCTGGCAGGTGAGTGTGTGTGCTCTTCAGGCCCCACCACTGACTAACCTCACCCCAACTAGGCAATGTTGCCTCCATCAGCTTCTCCTACTCTCACCACATCTGGACCCTGATCAGTTCCTGACTCATCCCAGCCCCAAATCTCTGCCTCTGCCATGCCACCCACCTGGAACCCATCTCTCCCACCAAAATGTGACTTTAAAAGACCAGATGCAATCATCCTTCTTCTTACAGAAGGACTCTCCTGTCACTCACTCCCGGAGGTTACCTATCTTTCCTTTGCCAAATCTTCCTCCTAAAGTGGGAGAGTGAGGATGGAACACAATTTTCTCTCTACGCAAGGTAGTTTGTTCTGCACAAATGAAATGAGACCATTTGCTTTGTGGTTCCTGGGGAGAAAGGAGGAGGAAATCAGTGGCCAGAGATCCCTATCAGAGGACAGCAAAGAGTCTCAGAAGGGCTAAAGAGAAAGGGGATCTGAGGAGCTTGTCCCTCCCTCTCCTCTTCTCTCCTTTTAGACTCCTTCATAACTTCAAGATCCAGCTAAAATGTCACTTCCCTCAGAAATTACAGGTGGAGGTGATGACATTCCCCTTTCCTCCCACAATTTTCTGTAATCATGAATGCAATCTTCTGTAATCATGACTATTTTCCCAACTGTATTGGGAGCTCTTGAAGACAGAGCCAGGTCTGATTCACTCCAGCGATGTCCACCTCAGGGCTGGGCACAGGGTTGTCACTATCAGTGTTGGTTGACTGGATGATCAGAAGGAAATGTGGAATGGAGGGAGAGTGGATTGGGCAATGGAAGTGATGGATGCAGGGATGTAGGGAAATGGCTGGGGGGATAGATGGACAGATGAATGGAAGATTGGATGGATGAGAAAATGGACAGATGAGAGGGCAGATGGGATATGCGGGTGGGTAAATGGATGGATGGATGGATGGATGGATGGATGGATGGATGGTTGATGAGAGGTTGGATAGATGGGAAAGTGAAAGGATTGATGAAAGGGTCAATATATAAGGTAAGTTAGATGGATAGGAGGGTGGATGGGTAAAGAAGGTTGGATAAATGGAAGAGTAGATGAGTGGGCAAGGGTGGTTGGATGGGATGGTGGATGGGTGGAAGGGTGGATGGATGTGGATGAATGGATTTAAAATGGAAGGTATATTGGATTTTGGATAGATGGTAGGTGGGTGAATGGATGGAAGAGTAAATGGGAAGGTGGATGAATGGATGGATTTATGGTTGTGGGAGAATGGATGGATAAAGTTCTATTGGACCCAGATTAGGGCATCTGAAAAAGATCCCTTGCTTTCCTCAATGCCCTACCAGGATGACAGCATAAATAGTCCACTGCAGAGCTTGAGGTAAGAAGAATCTGCTAAATAGTCTTATTATCACCTAAAAACCAGAATTATATCTAGGTCCTGTGATGTATTGGCTAAGAATGTGGGTTCTGCTGTCAGACCAACCTAGGTTTAAATCCCAGCTCCCATACTTCCTACATGGTTAAACTTTTGCAAGTTACTTCACCTCTCTGGGCCTTTGACTTCTCATTTATGAGATGAGGCATAACACCCACCTTGCTCTGGGTAATTATCAATATTAAAGAAGACGTAAACTGTCCTGAATAATTCCTGGCCTCAGTTTAGCACTCAGCAAATGGTAGCTGAGTAGAAATTTTAACCAACAAGATACCACCTGGTGGCAGCATCCTTAATTGCAAACAAAATACTCAGGAATATTTGGAAGAAGTAAGTTAAATTTAAAAATATTCCAAGTTAAGAGGAAGAGCATGAGTAATATTTTAGAGATAAGAACCTGCTGGATAGGGCCAGAGATGGGCCCAGGAGAGTGAGAAAATCTGAGGCTAATTCTTTGTGGGTTGACTGACAAAAGTAGAAGCTGAGGGTGACAATAGCAGCATCACAAATCAGTTGGTCCATGTTTTAACTCCTTCCTTGTAAGAATGTACCAGGAGAAGGTGCGGCATCACACTGGGGAAATCCAGGACCTCCGAGGTAACATGACCCAGCTCATCGCCAAGCTCCAGCTGATGGAAGCCATGTCAGACGAGGTGAGATCCTGGCCATTCTGCTCCCAAACATCTGACTTCTCTGTTTAATGCCTTTTTTCCTATTTCTCAAGTTTTATTAGAGCACATCCCCCAACAACTTCCTGGAAGAGAGTGAAATAGGAGGCTTATTAATTTGCTTAGAACTTGCACATTTGAAAATATCTTTATTTTACCCTTGCATTTGATTGATAGTTGGGCTGGGTATAGAATTCTAGATAGGAAAGTTTCCCCTAAAAATTTTGAAAGAATTCCACTATTGTGTTCTAGTTATACTGTTGCTCTTGAGAAGTACAATAGTGTTATTATTGGTCCTTTAAGTATGATCTGTTTTTGGTTTTTTTTTTTCCTATCTCTGGGAGTTTGTAGGATGTTCTTTTTATTTCTGATGTTCTATATTTAACTTGCTTGGGGTGGGGTTGCTGAGGTTATTGGATCTATGGGTTGATGTTTTTCAATAGTTTTTTTAATTCCTTAGCTATTATTTCTTAAAATATTGTTTCCTTCCCGTTATCTATCTCCTCTCCTGGGACTCCAATTACATCTATGCTAGAATTTTAGAGTGTGTTCCACATAATTCCTATGCTATTACCTGGTATGTTTGATTTTCATTCTTTTTCTCTATGTGCTTAAGTTTTTGATGTTTTCTATTCACATTTCTTCAGGTTCACTAATGATTTTGTTTGTTTAGTTCTAGAATATACATTTGATTCTTTTTCATAAATTTTAATTCTGTGGTGAAATTCTCCAACATCTCATCTATGTTGTCCATTTTTTCTTTTATTTAACATTTTGTCATAGTTATTTTTAAATCCTTGTCTGCTAAATCCAATATTTGGATCATCTATGGTCTTTTTCTATTATCTGGTTTTCTTTGGAGTATCAGTCATATGGTCTTGTCTCTTCCTGTCCAGAAATTTTTTAGTGTTTTTCTGGACATTGTATACAAAAGAACTGTATGCTCCAGATAATTATAACTTCAACTAGAGAGAGTGCTCCCTTTTCTTTGTAAGGAAGATGAATACACTGATCACTTCTATGTAGATCTTCATTGAGCTGACTCAGACCTGGATTGCAGTTTGTATAAGATTTAGTCAGAGGTTTCAGCTTAACCCTTCAATGTCCTGCCCATGCAGCTTCAAACTTTTGGTAGATGTCTTGATGGGAAAGACTGACCGTATGTCTGAGGCTTCTCAAGTCTCCAATTTTGTCTTCCAGCCCTGCATCAATGCAAAATCTCTGACCCCAGGGGTAACCTTCTCTGCCAGGGGCAAGCTTGGATTCTCAGCCTCTAATTGTGCCCACAATTGGTTTAGTGCCCTCAGGTGCAGCTAAAGCTTCTGAGTATTGATTCACCACTCCTCCTAGGGGAGTGGTTTTCAGAGTGTGGCCCCCATATCAGCAGCATCAGCATTACCCGGGAAAATATTAGAAATTCAAATCAATGGGCCCTCCTCAGACCTACTGAAGATGGAAGCCAACCATCTGTGTTTCAACAAGCCCTCCAAATGATTCTGTTATATACTAAGAAGATTTTTGTAGGGCTTTAATCTCTTGCTTATTTTGTTTTGAGGTCCCCTCACTGAAAGGGACTTGGTTTCCCAAGCGTTGTGAGACTGGGAAGTTTTACTCTGTCTTTCAGAAGTTTTCAAGGTAGTTCTTTAGCCCCTTCCATAGTTCTGGGTTTCAGTTAACATCTTATGGGGAAAACTGTTCAGGTTTGAGGCTCATCAAGTCTCCAATTTTATCTTTTTAGTCCTGTGTAACTATTAAAATCTTTGCTGCTTTCTCTTTCACCAGTAGCAGCCCTTGTTCAGCCTAAACCCACGTCTTCAGCTCATGCCCAGAATTATCAAATGCCCCCAGGGATTAAAATATTGTTAGCGTATTTCAGAATGGTTCTCTCCTCTCTATAATTTTAATCCCTGTGGTCCTCATTTCTCCCATAGCTTAGTGGTGGCTTTAAAATATGATTTAGTAAACTATATGGCCTTTCCTAGTTGTTTTTAGTCAGAGCATTGATCCTCTGTAACTTACTACATCTTACCTGGAGGCCCTACATCTCACCTTACATCTTAAATGTCATAATAATTTGCCTATCGGCTGGCTACCATTGGGGCCATTACGATCTGGAAACTCATGTCCTTTAGTCCTAAAAAGTGTTCTTTACTCATGTGATTAAATGGGTGTTTTCCCCCCAGCCATATTTGTTTTATTCTCATTTCTGAAGCTCCTTTTATTTGGATGTTAAATTCCTGAACTCATCCTCTGTTTTCTTCCATCTCTCCCTGTTTTCTTCTCTTTGTTTATTCTGAAATTGAGAACATAATCTCAGCTTTATCTACCAAAACTTCTACTGGGTTTTTCATTTTTGTTAATATATTCTGAATTCCTAAGAATTTTCTTTTTTTCTCTCTGGGTGTTCCTTTTCATAGATTTCTATTCTTGTTTCATGGATGCAATATCTTTTCTTACCTTTTGGAGCTTAGGCAGGTCACCAAACTTTCTGAGTTTCCACATCAACAAAACAAGTTATAATCACTGCCCTGTAACCCTGTGGCTAGTCTGGTTACTACTGCCACACAGCAAACTGCTCCAAAACTTGGTGGTGCTAAACAATCATTTTATTATGCTCAGAGATTCTGTGGGTCAGGGATTCAAATAGGATGCAGTGGGGATGGTTTGTCACTGCTCCACAATGCCTGAGGCCTCACCTGGGAAGACTTGAAGGCTGGGGTGACTTGGCAACTGTATCTGGACCCATCTGGAAGCATCTTCACTCACATGTCTAGAAGTTGATATTGGTTATCAGCTGGGAACTCAGGGCTGTTGACTAAAGCACTCATACATGTGTTCTCAGTGTTGTGTGGGCTTCCTCACAGCATGGTAGCTGGCTTCCAAGAGTGAGCATCCCCAGAGAACCAAGTAGAGCTGTACCGCCTTTTAGGCTTAGCCCAGAAGTCACACGGCATCACCTCTGCCAGAGCCACAGGCCCACCCAGACTGATGGGAGGGAACTTTAGCCCCACCTCTCAACAGACAGAGTATCAAAGTCATATTGAAAGAAAGGTGTGTTACAGGAGACTTTGTTATGGCCATTGTGGGGAAATACAATCTGCCACAGTTTTGAAGAGTCTAATAAAAATAACAGCCAGCATTTACTGAGCACCAACTGTGCTAAGTGCTTTGCAGTCTTTATCTGGCAGGAGAGTGTAGTAGCTAAGAGCCCAAACACTGGAACCAAACTGCCTGGCTCTGCCTCTTACCAGCTGTGTGACCTTGCACACGTTACCTTTTGTGCCTTAATATTCTTATCTTTAAAATAGGGGTGATCATAGCACATGCCTCCTAGGGTTGATGTGAGGGGAAAAGAGTGAACATACGTAACACTGAGGACGGTCCTGGCACACAGTAGTCGTACAAGTCCCTGGCTCTAATCTGCACAGCAGCCAGAGGGGGACATGATTATCGTCCCCATGGTACAGACAAGAAGGCCAAGAATCAGGGGCGCCCGGGTGGCTCAGTCATTGAGCGTCTGCCTTCGGCTCGGGTCATGATCCCAGGACCCTGGGATCGGGCTCCCTGCTCGGTGGGAAGCCTGCTTCTCCCTCTCCCACTCCCCCTGCTTGTGTTCCCTCTCTCGCTGTCTCTATCAAATACATAAATAAAATCTTCAAAAAAAAACAAAAGAAGGCCAAGATTCAGAGGGGCGGTAACTAGCCCAAAGCCCCACAGCAGTAAAAGTTTGTCTGACTCCAGACCCCCTGCCTCTTCACTTCACTAAGAGTCCTGTCCCAAGTGGGACACCCTGTCATGGTGCACGTGGAAGCACTGAGGAAACCCAGTGGGGAGGGGGGTAGGTATGGCTCTGTGTCACCTGGGCCTCCTCACCATGGGGTGACTGGGTGGTCTTGTGCCAGGACCAGCCACGGTCTCCACAGGCAGGGGTAAACAGTTAAGGACAAGAGAGTTCCTGCAGTCACCTGTCACTTGGTGTGAACACACGTGTGGACGTGACCTGTCAGAACACATCAGCACACAGCCTGTGTTTTCTGCCTCCTCAGGAAAAAATTGCCCAGAAAATAATGAAGATGATACAAGGAGATTTTATTGAAAAGCCAGACTTTGCCCTAAAATCTATAGGTAAGTGACTCCCCCTCACCCCCCACCCCCCACACCGCAACAATCTGCCCGCATCAAGTTTCCCCAGAAACTCTTCAGAGGATGGATTTCAGTTCTGGTCTGGTGCACTCTCTGCCGCCAGGAAGTTCATGGTCAGAGCTAACCTCTGCCCCCACAGATGGTTCTCTTGTTACAATTTTCTTTTGTCTCAAAAGGGGGGCCTGAGGCAGGGAGAGAAGGCCCCCCATGACCCCTCTACCCACCCACCATCCTCCAGACCCAGAGGCCAGCTGAGCCGCACCTGCCCCACGTCAGGGAGAACAATTGCAGGTGGGAATCAGTGCTGTGGAAAACCAGAGCAGGTGGCTGGGAGAGAGGGGACCCAGGCAGAGGGGGGTGCGGGAGGACGTTTGAGTTGAGACCTGGCCAGGAGAGAAAAGTATTCCCGACCCAGGGGAGCCCCAGTGAAGGTACCCCTGTGGGGACGCAGCAGGAGCACGCGGGGTGGGGGGCAGGCGGAAGGAGGCGAGGCAGGGCGGGCAGGGTGGACGGGCCCAGACCCAAGGGCATGTGGGGTCAGAGGGCATTGGCTTAAGCTCTCAGGGCAGGAGTGCCCTCCTCTGTGCAATAGGCCTAACAATAGCCATCGGAATAATGGGGAGGCTGTCATCAATGAGGCTCTGAGGGAAGGACTCCTTTGCTCCTCACAGCAACCCCAGGAGGTGAATGTTAGCATTCCTATTGTTGCTGCTCTTCTTACTCCCATTTCCCAGAGAACACTGGAGTCCAGGGAGGGCCAGTGACTCACCCAAAGCGCTCGCCTGGCGCACAGTCAGCGCCCAACCAGACCCTCCCTCCCATACAGGGGCCTCCATCGACTTTGAGCAAACGTCAGCCACGTACAACCACGACAAGGCTCGCTCCTACTGGAACTGGATCCGGCTGTGGAACTATGCACAGCCCCCGGACGTGATCCTCGAGGCAGGGGTGCTGGGGGGACGAGGAGAGGGTGGCAGGGGTGTGGTCAGGGTTCTGGGAGCAGGACCTGGAAGTGGACACTGGGGGTGTGCGCAAAGGGAGTGGGTCCCTGGGGTAGGGGGAGAGGTAGGAACACGAGACAGAGACGGGGCAGGGGCAGGGAAGGGACAGCCTGCTTCAGCACTGGAAGGGGCCCGCCACCCACGCCTCAAGACTTGAGGGTCAAGGAACCCTCACGGCCCCAAGCAGGCTCCTGTCCTCCCTGTGCCGGGCTGAGCGGAAGGCTCATTCTTGCTGCCGGCAGTCAGGGGAGCTTCCTGGAGTTGGTGGCGCTTGACCTAAGCTTTGTAGATGGAAGGATCTGGCTCATCCAGGAAGCAAAGAGATCTAGGTGAGCCAGGGTGGGACGAGGAATTCACCTTCACCCACCCACCCAGCATGGCCCCCATTGCACCTGCCCCTTCCAGCCCAGCATGACGCCTGGCAACTGCTGGGCCTTCTCCGGGGACCGAGGTCAGGTGACCATCCGACTGGCCCAGAAGGTCTACCTGTCCAACCTGACACTGCAGCACATCCCCAAGACCATCTCACTGTCGGGCAGCCTGGACACTGCTCCCAAGGACTTCGTCATTTACGTGAGCATGCCCCAGCAGGGAGCAAGGCTTGGCTAAGGGGACAGCCTCATATGGTGGGACTCTGGGCACTCCGTCTGCACAACCCACCAGGCTAGAGGGGTTGGCTGAGGCTTTGTCAAGGCTGAGGGTGACTAGGTTCGGAGCTGATCACAGCCTTTGAGGATGGGAGATAAGCAGCTACTTTATTTCAAGCCAAGCTTTTCAGAGCCCAGTTTGGTCTTCAGAGACCATTGACAAGGAAACTGAGGTCCAGAAAAGGGTCAGGGTAACACCCAAATCCTACAAGTCCGTGACGGAGTTAGAAGAGGACCCTCAGGCTTTTGATTCCCAGTCGAGTGCTCTTTCTTATCCATTATTCTGTGCTGCAGTGGAATGATGCCCAAAGAGGTAGGGAGTTCCCCATGCCGGGAGGTATGCAAGTCTCAGCTGGAGAGGGGCAGCACCCTCTGAAGGCTCTACCCATACCTGATACTTTCTCCTTGGTTCTGATTCTACAGGGCATGGAAGGCTCTCCCAGGGAGGAGGTGTTCCTGGGGGCATTTCAGTTTCAGCCGGAAAACATCATTCAGATGTTCCAGCTCCAGGTACCGGAGAAAAGCTGCCCATGTGGAGCACATACTGAATGTACATCATGTGCAGGGCTTTCCCCAGGGAACCCCATTTCGTCCCCCCAGTAGCCTCGGGTGTGTAAAACTGTCACTAGCCCACTTGACAAGTGAGGAAACTGAGGCTCAGAGCATGGAGCCACTGCCCAGGGCAAAAAGTGGGACCCCGAGGAGATCCATCCAGCTTCTAGCAATACATCGTTCCCCTGACCTGCCCCGGAGTCCACCTGCTGCAGTTCCTCCAGGGACAGCAGATGTGAAACAGGAGGGGCCTGCTGGGCCACGGTTGCTGGCTTCCAACTTAGCGTCTCCATCCTGGGAGACCCCGTTATCAGCTCCTGACCCAATGGAGACCTGAAGGGGCGGAAGTTGGGAACAGAAGCGGGACACGAAGGGTAGCTGGTAGAATGGCCTTGAGACTCAGGCTGACACTGACCCAAACCCCGACCCCACAAATCTGCGTGATCTTGGGCCATTCCCTTCCTCTCTAGGCCTCAGGTTCCCCTTTGTAATTCCCTGGGAGGTTCAAAGCATCCAGTGAGATCTCAAAGGCCAAGGCCCCAGCTTTTGCACTGGGCTCCATCCCTTCTCGGGGGGCAAAAAGGGGAGGAGGCAGCACTCACTGAACGTCTACCAAGTGGCAGGCCAGCTAGCTCCAGGATCTTGTTTCATGCCCACAGCAAACCTGGGAAGCAGATATTAACCCTCCCATCTTACAGAGGGGGGAAACTGAAGCCCCAAGGGGGGGGCAGTGATTTGCCCTGGGGTCCCACAGCCATATGTACCAGGGCCCCAAGGCTGGGACACTTTCTCAATCACAGTATATCCGTCCTTCTGGCCTCAGCACCTTCCATCCCAGCCCCTGAGTATCAATTTCTTGTGTGGCTTCAGGACAGTCCATTCTCCTATCTGAGCCTCAGTTTTCCCACCTGTGAAATGGGAGGCTTCCTTTCTACTCCCAAACACCCTTCTGGAAAGGCAGAGTGGAAGCCAATGGCTCCATGTCTGTGAGTCTCTTGCAGAACCAGCCTGTCCGAGCTTTTGGGGCTGTCAAGGTGAAGATATCGAGCAACTGGGGGAACCCACGCTTCACTTGCCTGTACCGAGTGCGTGTGCACGGCTCTGTGACCCCACCTAGAATGCCCTAGAGAGCAGTCGAACTAGAGCCCCTACCCCAAGAGAGATTAAAGTTTATTCTTCACAGCTCAGCCCAAGTCTGAGTGTTTTTTGGCTCCAAAGAGTGAGGGTGGGCTAACATGTGATGTCTGAGGCCACGGTTAGCAATTCTCCACCATGTCCCGAGTGTCCAGGCCCCCTCACAATAGCCCCACGAGGCCCCATGTCACAGATGGGGACAGTGAAGTCTCCGAGCAAAACCTCGCAAGAGGTCACAGCTCACAAATGCTGCACCAGGAGCTAAAGCTAGGCAGTCTCACGCCTGTACGTAAGCCATCGCCCTGGCTTCAGGTCACGCTCCGCCCTGACCCAGCTGTGACCGTGGGCAAGGCCCAGCCCGCCCAGGGCCTCGGTGTCCCCCTCTGTACAACGGAACAAGATTGTGGCTCTTGTATCAGATGAGGTGGGGGATGAGAAGTCCCACCTTGTCCACCACAGAGTGTTTCATCACACAGACCATCGACTGTGTGGTATTAGGACACACACCCTCTCTGGACCTCACTTTTTCCAGTTATCACATGTCTATTCCATGTTGTGCCTCCAAAAATGATAAGTAAACAAAGTAAAAAGGCAACCCACAGAATGGGAGAAAATATTTGCAAATCATATATCTGATAAAGGATTCCTATCCAGAATATATAAAGACTCCTAAAACTCAACCCCCACCACCACAACAAAAACAATTCAAAAATGGGCAAAAGACTTGAATAGACATTTCTCTTAAGAAATATACAAATGGGGGCGCCTGGGTCACTCAGTCCATTAAGCGTCTGCCTTCGGCTCAGGTCGTGATCCCAGCGTCCTGGGATCGAGCCCCACGTCGGGCTCCCTGCTCAGTGGAGAGCCTGCTTCTCCCTCTCCCTCTGCCCCTCTCTCATGCCCTCTCTCTCTGTTTCAAATAAATAGAATCTTTTAAGACAAACTGTGGTTGCCAAATACATTTAAGAAAAAGAAATATACAAATGGCCAGTAAGCACAGTGAAGATCACTAATCACTAGAGAAAAGCAAATCAAAACTCCAGGGAGATACCTCCTCACACCCATTAGGATGGCTACTATAAAAAAAAAACAAAATAAGAGTTGATGAGGAGGTGGAGAAATCAGAACCCTGTGCGCTGCTGGTGGGCACGTAAAATGACAGAGCCACAGTGGAAAATAGCATGGTGGTTCCTCAAAATATTAAAACTAGAATTGCAGTCCGATCCAGCAATCCCACATCTGGGTACATGCCCACAAGAACTGGAAGCAATAGCTAGAACGTGGAAGCAACCCGCGTGTCTGACAACAGGTGAACAAACGAACAAAATATGACAGGGACACACAATGGAATATTGTTCAGTTGGAAAAGGAAGGAAATTCTGCAATTGGCTCCAACATGGATGAACCTGGAGGACATTATGCTAAATGAAATAAGGCAGTCACAGAAAGACAAACACGGTATGATTCCACTTATATGAGCTACTGAGGGTGGTCAAATTCAGAGACAGGAAGTAGACTTGTTACCAAGGGCTGGGGGCAGGGGAGAATGGGGAGCTAAAGGTTTAATTATAGACAGTTTCAGTTCTACAAAACGGAACGAGCTATGGAGATGGCGGGTGGTGATGGTTGCACATGATTATGAATATAGTTAATACCACTGAACTGCAAACTTTAAAATAGTTAAGATGGTAAATTTTATGTTATATGTATTTTACCACAATAAAAATTTGCAAAAAAAAAAAAGCGATAAAATACCTTAAATCCTTTCATGGAGACAATTTGGGATACTTTAGAAATGTAAGAAAATCCTATAAATTACGATAGCACATTCCATCATTACTGTGTACTATTAGAAAGGCAGATGTAAATTTTTTGAAGTTTCTCTTCCCTAAAGCAGTCGCTCATTTTGCATGCATAATCTGTGCCTTAGCTGAGTCCCACCTGTTTAGTATTTACTCAAGAGCTTACGGAAGTGCTAGAAACAGTATCCAGTGTCAGTATCTACCCTGACTCCATCCACAGAGCTCTCAGCACAGAACGTGGCACACAGTAGATGCTAGATAAAAGATCACCAAGGTGATTGTCAACCTCCGTCCCCAGGCAGGTGATAGGAGGCCCAGTCCTGGGGTGGGGGGGGGGAACATTGCCCCTAAGCAGGGCCCCAGAGGCGGGGACAGGCTGGCCAAGCTGGAAAGACCCCAGGGAATGGAGCCTACAAAGGAGGGGATTCATACAGGAAGGGGCAGGCAGGTACAGAGGCTGGTAAGGGTCCAGCTAGGCATTAGGATGGATAAATCAGAAATATGTTAGTCTCCTGGGAGGGCGCCCTGGACTGGCACCTGTCCTCTTGCAGAATCCGTCCCTCTGGCCATCCGCCAGGCTCCTTACCAGCACCTGGCCCCAGGACCTGCCCTCCCATGGTCTCCACTGTGGGATGGCCTTCAAGTGGTCACCTCGAACTCCTGCCACCCCCCGGGCTGCTATCTGCAATCAGTGGACCTGGTAGCCAACCCAGCACTATTTCCGTAGATTTTGTGAGAACCATTCTTGTGATTAAAAAGCCACACCGTACTGAGATTTGATGAAAAGCAGAGCCATAGACACCCCACTTCCTCCCCCAAACCCCCTTCCAGCCTCACTCAGCCGTTCTACATGTTTTCTTCCATTAATTTGTCTTTTAACTTTGTTGAACATGTATTTTGTTCAGCAGATATTTTTGAAAACTTTATGTAGTTAAATCGTCTTTTATAGATTCTAAGTTGTATGCATTTCAGGAAGGACCTGCCCAGTTCCAAGATTATAGCAATATGCTCCTACATTTCTACTGATTTTATTATATCTACATATCTATATACGCGTTACAAATATAAGAATAGATAGATATGTGATAGGTGATGGATATGCTCTTTAGTGCACACACACAGGCTTCAGATGCATAAAAGCTCTTTAATGCATCTGGAATTTATTTTTGTGCATGGTGTGAGGTAGGGATCTAGTTTAATTTTTATTAAGTGACTACCCAAAGGCCACAGTACAGTACCATTATTGAATAGACCATCTTTCCTCTGTAGCTTGGAAACAGGGTCAACACACAGCTTCTGGTCTCTTTCTCACTTCACTGAGCCCCCTGCCTCATCCTGCACCAACACCATATCCTTCGAGTTACTCTAGCTTTGGAGCATGTGTTGGTGTGTGCCGTGGTGAGCACCCCACTCTTTATTTCTGCTTCCCATACACTTTCTCTGCCAGGCAAACTTTCCCATCCGCTTGTGTCAACCAAGCTGCATTTTTTAACAGTTGGACTTGCAGTGGCTTTATGGATTCATGTATGAAGAATAAATCTCTTGGCCACGTCAGTTCTTCTCTTCCTGGAACATGGAGTCTTTTCTCTGTGTCTTCAAGTTTTCCTTCAACAGCTTCAGTAAAGTGTCATTGCTCTCTTCATATGCATTCTGCACTTTTTTATCAGATTTAATCCCGGATCTCTTACCAGTGGTAGGGCGACTGTAAATGGGATCTTCGCCCTCAGTGACGTTTTTCTGTGGTCAGAGCAGCTGTGGAGGAAACCCCTGCTTTGACACTCATGTGGCACTTTTCCCTCCATGGTCCCCACCCTCTGGAGGACTCAAGTAAATCCTCCCCAGTGTTCTAGACGCACGCTCCTGTCACCCACAAGCATTCCGTAATTCACAAGTGTGTCCATCACCACCACCTCATCTCATCCCCACGGCGTCCCCGCAGATGAGGAGACGGGCACGGGAGAGGCAGAGAGACTTCCTGAGCTCACACGGTGGGTTGTAGCGTCGCTGCGACGTTAGCCCACCCCGCAGGCCCCTGGGGGCTTGCTCTCCCTTCAACCTTCCCGCAGTCATTTCAAATTCCAGCAGGTTCAGGTGGACTGACTGTGGAACCATGAGTAGAGGGCAGGAATCCTGGGTTTTGTCCCAGCTGGACCCTGAGAGCAGCCTGACCTCCTCATCCCGCCCAGGCCCCCGGAGACAGTCACAGAGCCGGCACAGATAGGGCGTCCAATCCCTGGGGCGTTGCGTTCTTCGTTCGCTCAGCCCCTGCCTGGATGACCAGGCTTCCCCTCATTCACCGTGGGGCTCCCCTTCACTTGCCTCACAGTCCATCCTCCAAGGTCAATAGGCCCTGGGTTGGGGGTACAGGCCACAGTGAACGGTCCTCTGCACAGATAAGGAGACAGGCCCCAAGAGGGACCCAGTCTCATCCAAGACCCACGACAGAAACCTATTCAGCCCAGCAGGGGGTCAGGGGCTGTTCCTCCCTTGGGAGGGCTCCCTGCTGTGGCAGCATCTTACAGGAGAACAAAGGCTACCTCTAGGCCTCCGTCCCCCCCACCCCACACCCCGGAGCACAATGCACAAGGCTGGCTGCCTGCCCACCCCTCGGCCCACCCACGAGTCTAGAGCAGGGAAGTGGGCGGCCGGCCAAGGTGGGAGTAAGCTCTCTGCGGCGACCAAGGCGGACCGGACGTACCGAGGGCCAAACCACCCCTAAGGCCCCGGAGCGGCGCCTCCGATAAGCCTAGCTCAAGCCCCAGGATTTGAGCCAATCCTACTAATCCCTGGACACCAGGCTAGGTAGGGCAGATGGGAGGGGCCTCGGCCTCTCTGAGACTCAGAGACCCCCAGACCAGTGATAAGACAAAGCCCTGGACCCCACCCCTGCCTGGTGCTCCCTCACTGTGTGACCTAGAGGAAGTCAGTCTCCATTTCCCCATATGCACCCAGGAGATGCTAGTCCTCACCTCCTCCCAGCCAGTGGTGGACTGAGGCCCCCAAACCGCTGATGTGAGAGGTCCTTGTTGACTGTGGTGATGGGTATGAACCCCTCACATACAGAGTGAGCGAAGTACCATGTTATTTCCTCGAGTCAAATCCAGCTTCAAGCCCCTCCGCGGGCAGGCCAGTGGGAAATCCCACAATGGCCATTTTCCAGGTCACTGTCACCCTCCCAGGGCCCTGGGGATGACTTAGGTCCAGAAAGGAGGAGCCGATGCTGCTAGTCAC